CTTTCAATCAATTAACCGACTGTTCATTTCAGCTCTACTCTCAGTGGCCTTCAAAACATCATTCTGATATTTTGCTTAGACAGTGCGTAGTTGATGCTGGTGACCTGTGATCTTTATGATCTTAACCTGTCTCTATAAGTATCTACCCTGCTGACATGCCCCCAAGGTATCAGATCATCCCAGGTGTAGGGCTGTTGTTCTGCAGCTGGCCTTGAACTCTGATCTCCCTTTTGGACTTGGACACATGACAGAGTGTATGTGTCATGAAGCTAATTTACAGCTCTCCCTTAAGGTGGCTAAGTTTAGTGAAGCCGACTAAGAGCATCGTGGGCTGAGTAACCCTGAGTAACAGGCAGGTTTTGGTTCAGCTCCACAGTCTAGTCACAGCCCTAACCTCAGTTTAGCCTGCATACTTGTCCAGCAAACAGGGAGAGGCGTTGCCATGACGTTGCCATGGCTGCCCACTCTCAAACAGACATTCCTGCTGTGTGTCAGAGCAGGAGGAGGAAAGCTGCATCGTCAGTTCCTTATTCGGTCAAAGTGTGGCTGGAACTTGCTCAGCTGCCCACCCAATTTAGAATATGAAGTGTGCTGGGGAGGGAAAGGCACGGGCTGCCATGTTACTAAAATTAGGCCGTGAGCGGAGACTGGGAGGACCGTGCCCAGTCTGAACAGGATCCATTGTCCCTGAGCGCTGGCTACTGTAACTGTGATCTCACATCACCAGTCTAAAAGAAAAAACATTGTCTAAAATAATGATGAGTGTTCGTTAAAGAAAGTGTGAGAAGTCGTAGAAAACAAGAGGGAGAGGTCGAATTGAACAGCTCTTGCATTTTATGTGGCTACTTGTAAAGTGTTATGGGGCTGAACTTGTGAAGAGGAAACCTGTTAAAAGTGCACATACCTTCAAGTGCATACATGGCCATATTATGTTCAAGGTTGTTAGGTTTAAGGCCTTGCATCATCCTTATTACTCCTGAGATGTGCTCATTACATCAGTGGGTACATGAGCAAAGTCAAAGAGGAAGTGATAAGAGGAATGACCTCACTTTTTTTAGAAGATACTATGTGTTTCAGAGACATGTCTGGCCCCTGACTGACTGAGTCTCATTGTGTTGCTATGGGGCCACACTGTCCTGTACGCAGATAACATCCGACTTGAGCATGAGTCACACCCTCCACTGGGCAGCTGTGTGTGTTTAGTATTAAATAAACAAGCATCTGTTGACTCGCAGCCCATCTATTGAGCCTAAATAAAGCACAAGTGTCTGTTACCAGTAGTCAGCTGTTGCTGCTTCTCTGGCCCAGACTTTATTACAGCCGTTTCACATCAGGGAGAAATCTCAGTCTGAATCTTTGTGAAAGATGCTGTAACCGTCGCCAAGATGTGAGTCATTTTTGACACAGGGAGGCAAAATAGCAGACTGCACACTGGGCGCAGCTCAGTGTTCTTGTGAATGCTGCTTGTATTTGGAAGTGAATTGCTGGTTTACTTCTTGGAAAAAGTGCATCTTTTTCAACTGATGTGCCTTACCTTATAAGGGCCGGTTTGAAACAATTTCTTGCCTGGCTTGTGTGTTTTTATTGGGGTGTTTTTTCAACCCCTGCTAACTGGTGACGTTCTTCAAACTCTACAAACAAAAAGTGCTTTGTGTTGTTGGTGTATAGAAGGTTCTCCAGAAGCCCTTTTCTGAATGTCACACTATAATAATAGCGGCTCTATGGAAAGTGTTAGTAGGGTAGAGGATGACGACAATGTTTGGAGGGATTTTTTTAACCTCTTCAAACTGGTTTTTTAGGCTTTATGTACAAATCTAGTTTTAGTTTTTAATTTTCTTTGATCAGCTGAGGTCATCCTCTTGATGCTTCTTTGAAATGTTACTCAAGACAATTTTTGCTGAGGATCACCTCACATGTGTCTACACAAAATGTAGGGTAGCTCCTCCTTAACAGCGCAGTAGTTTATATGTCACAGACAGCGGAAATGCAGCCCCACCAGCATCATCACTTTGACTAAACAAAGCACCCTCTTCGGTGGGAGTAACAGGACATTTCTGGAATAGTTTCTCCCTCCTCCCCAAATGCCCCCCCCCACACACACACACACTCTACAGAGGGGCCCAGGATAAGGGGAGAGGAATAAAGGGGGAAGAGGAGGAGGAGGAAGAAACAAGCAGTGTGCCAAACAGCACACAGCCCCTGAAGCTCACTGTCTTTTCTCCTCCTCTCACTTTAAGTATCTATTATTGCTTGATGTCTTCCATGTCAGTTAGCACTACCTATGATGCCTAATTTCCTCCCTACTTCCAGTAATCTCTCTCTCTCTCTCTCTCTCTCTCTCTCTGCCTCTGCTGCCATCTCTCTCTCTCTGCAGCAGATCCCTGCTATCAGTGTCTTTGGCAGAGAGCTGCAGTCTGCTCTGCTGCAGACTCCAGAGGGTAGGAGCCTTGCCACGGCTCCAGGAACAGACGGAGAGAGAAAGAAAAGTGTGCAATGTGTTTCTCAGCTGCTGTGGCCTTCTTCTTGGCCACTTGAGACATGGGACTTAGATGAACTCAGCTTAAAAGCAGCTCACTCTGTTCGAGTATATTAAACATCTTTTGATCAACTAATGACACTGCAACGTGTGGTTTGCATTTTTGTCCCTACAGAAAGAGGGCTCACTTCAGACGCTTCACCTGTGAATCGGTAATCCCCTCCTCACTGCGTGCTCTGCTTTCCATGTCATATGTGTCTGGCCATTGCCATGGGAACAGTTGCTGTGCTGCATTGCCACTCTTGATCCAGTACTGAATGGTTCTCTGTAGGTGTAGCGCTGTGGGGAAAATGGAATAATCATCTCATTCATGTCTTTCTGATCCTATAAGGATCAGCTAATGTCAGCTGAGTGTAGTAACGGCCGTGAACCACGATACCGCCAACACTTCACGGCCGCAGCTTTATTTTGGAATTGAATCATGTAAGGTGAAAAGGGGACTTTCATTGGCTGAACAAAGGCAGTGATCTAATCCACGCTTTTCAGATATTGAATTCGGGGGGGGGGCGGGACAGCCGCAGTACAATGGGAGCCAGCAGGCAGATCAAACAGAGCCATCCCACTGGGCGTCACACAGAGGACAACAGCAGCCAGCCTGTCCGCACCAGCAAGGAGCTGCTGGACTGGCTCAATGCGCCAAAACAAAGTCCTCTATTGAGGACAGTTCAGAAGCTGCATCTCGGATATTAAACAAATATTCTTGTAACGGCTGTTGAGTTGAGATCTGATTTAAATTTTATTCTTATCTTTGTCGGCAACTTCGCAAACATTATTTGTGCAAAAACTGAGTTTTTTTTTTTAATGTCTTTTGCATGACACACACTGAAACACTTTGCATACCACCTCTGCAGTTGCAAGAAAGAGAGTTAAAAAAAAAAGGAGGACATGCAGAGGAAGCGCAGTGAATGAGGAGTGACTGACGACATAAGAGGCTGACATAATAGAAACGATATTCAGCTGCTTCACAGAAGATCTGCTACAGTATTACACTGAATGCAGAGGTGCATTCCAGGGCGTAGATACGTGAATGACCTCCATGCTTGTCCTTGTGAATAGATGAATACGGTGCATTCTTTTTTTCTTTTTTTTCTTTTTTTCTTTTTTTTGCCTGCCTTGCTTGGAGAATGACATACCTCAACACACTTGGCATCCACAACTCTGCATCTTTAATAAAGGTTGTGATGTACATCTGGTGATTTAAGTATGTAAGAAGTAAAATGTAGACAAAATTTTATTTGTTGGTGTAACGTGAATGGCAAGGCGCAGATGAGAACAATATCCGATTTCGGTTTCACAATGACGGCTCTTGATTTTTACCAGCAATGTGGCTTAACTTGAAATCTAGTAGGTTGTCTCGGAGAGGACATAACTGTGCGGCAGTCAGCATAGCAGATTTCATTAAGATACTGCCCAAAGCTCAGTTAATCAAATGAAATGCTTATTCTTCCTCCTGATGTAGAATCCAAACCATATTTGTCCTTTTCTACACCCTCCTCACTCCCTACATGGCTGTGAGCGGAGCAAAGCTAGAGGTAGTGGAGAGAGTGTGAGAAAGAAGACAGCGCATGACAAAAGAGATGGATGGTTGTTGAGAGAACGGGAGATATCGCTGACAGTTTGACGCACACCCTCCCATAGCTTTTCTGATTACTGCTGTGTGTGAGAGGCGAGAATAGAAATCACAGCTATTAAGTTTCTCTCATCCATTGCAGGGGTGTTCAGACTGGATTTCAGCTTTTCATTATTATCAGCTTTCAAAAAGAAAGAACTTGTTTTGATTTGGATATTAAAATCCCATCTCAAACCTGAATCCTGTCTTTGGTTCTGTTGCTGAACGATGAGCGCTCACCATTAATTCCAAGGGCGCACGCCACTTCCCATTGATCTCGTTGTCACCGCCACCGCTCTGTCTTGTGTTTGTGCAGTCTAGCAAAAGGGGAAACAAGAGGCCATCCGAGTCTTAATCACTCCAGAAGTTTCCTCTTACAGTTTGGCAGATTAATGGAGGAGGAAGTGTGCTGAAGCATTTAAAACAAGGGGCTCTGCCTTCTACTCTTTCCCTACTCCTCAAGTGTTTTCGAGGGCAGCCTGTAATGTGTATGAAAGAGTCGTTGTCTGAAATGGGCCCTCTCCGGGCGAGTGGAGTGAAACGCCCCAGGCCGTAAAAGATTGTGCAACAGAGATGTGATCCCTACTAAGATTATTGGGCCCTTTTTCCGTTTTGGCCTCAGCTATAAGCCAAGTGCTATCAGTGGTAGAAACTTGTTACAGATGTTTTTTAAGATCTTGCTATCTTGTGTTTTATACGTGCAATGATTAAATCCTGGCCGTTTCCACCCTGTACTTAATGGTCCCTGTGAGATAGAAAGAGGTGTGCCCTCTGTCTTCAGGAATGGTATCTGTGATATGTTGCTGATAGTTAGTCTGCTCCTATCCTAACTTGCTATCTCTCTGTATATTTAAGGCGGGAAGTGATGGAGAGAGCATCGGGAACTGCCCCTTCTCTCAGAGGCTCTTCATGATCCTGTGGCTTAAAGGAGTCGTCTTCAACGTCACCACAGTGGACCTCAAGAGGTGAGTCCAGCCCCCATCCTCCTCTTCATCGATATCCTCCTCTGCTGCTGCTTGTCCTCATTTCATTGGCTGGGACTAAAAAAGATATTCAACTTGTTTTCCTCCCACCCATTTTCTGGGTGTTTCCACAAAGGCCTCAGTGCCTCGAAAACTCTTTGATGCAGCCCCACCTCTAACACGCTCGCTGCTTCCCCACTGCTTATTTGGTTTTCCCATGACCCTTTCCCAGGCCGGAGAAAATCGGAGGAAAATAAACATACAGACTCTGGAGGGTCTATTTAAGGTTCTTCACTCCGCTCACTTCCTGCCTAGATTTTGGTGGGCAACATGTTATTTTTCATGCCTGGGATCAGAAAACCAGTGATCCTCTGCAATTTTGTCTTGGATATATATATATATATTTTTTTTTTATTTTATTTTTCCTCCCAGCTGCAAGAGAACGTGCTTTCACATGTGGATTCCAGTACCAGAAGCTCTTTACCAAACCCACTATGTTTCTGTCTGTGTGATTCATCTAAATGCTCCCTCAATGTTTTTTCCACTTGCTAAGCCAGGACAAGCAAGTGCCAGATTATTTTCAGCCATGGCTGATGGTCAGATGGACGTCTGGTTTCTATGGTTTTTTTCTCTTCGTCACGTGTGTTTGACTCAGAGATTCAAATTTCTGACGTTTTATTCCAAAGCGTGGTTCATCCATGTGGCAGCTGGTTCAACACCAGACGCCTCCCCCTCCTCCTCCAGGACATGAGGATCACTGCGTGCTGACAAAACACAACAGAGATGTACTTGATAAATACTGCGGCCTTTGTAAACAGCTAGGAGGAAAGCAGTGTCCATTTGACTAGCTATTTGGTTTTAATGCATGCCTGCACATTCAAGATGAGTGCATAGGTTGCCAAAGAACATTTGCATAATTTCCCTGGCAGAAGGTCTGTAACATAAAACAATGCATGCTAGTATCCTGTATAAGGCAATGGAGGATGTCCGCCTACTTAGCAGTGTCTTTTTACCACTTGCTCCTCAAACAACCCTTTGTTCAGCTGGGACTGCTGGAACTGCTTCAGCCTTTGCTTTTTCCATGCAATATACTGTCTGTAATCTTGAGTCAACATAAAACGGCTGTATTGCAAAAGGAGGTGTGTGTTTGCCATATTCATGGTTCGTTTTATTGCAGTATTTAAACTGAAGAACGGTTCATGTTGTTTCACTCGTAGAAGGACGTGGAAGTCACATGTCATTCCCCTGTGTGGAGATGTTTTATGTTTCCTGAGTTTAGGTCTTGTCTTGGGTCAAGGCTTTTGTGCTAATATTTGTGTCTATGATGAAAACCTCGAGGCACCTTCTTACCCATTCCTCAGTGATATCACCGGGTGAGGGTGCCACTTCCCCTTTTGCATGCCAAAGAATTGAAGTCATTTCCCGTTTTTTGCGCCCTTAGATGACTTATCCCAAAACTCAGCCACCATTATGTACACCATCACACCACAAACCCAGACCATTTTAAGACTCTGTGTGGATGGATGTTGTTTCATATATTAGATCAGAAGCGGATTCACACTGTCTGCTATCTTACACCCATCTGTTAGGCTCTAAGCTGTCGAGACACTGCTGTGTTTTATGTTGTCGTTATGGAGGGATTTAAGCATCTGGGTTCTGTGGATTTCACAAGCGAGTTGTGTTCACACTACTCATTCGATACATGCTCATTTTTGTTTGTGTGTCAGTATCATCTGCTTGCCAGAGGCATCTGGTACAAAATGTGCTGGTTTGAAGGCCAGAGAGAAGGGGACACACAAACACACTCATGGAGACAAACGCACTCAAACACAGTTAAAGACAGAGCAGCTATAGTTGGATAAGGAGGACGGCTGGAAGGCTCTAGAAAAATGCGGTTTAAAGTGCAGCAGGCAGAGCCACGGCACACTTTACTTGAACTGTAAGACGTGAATAGTATGTGCGTTTTATTCACACATTTAACCAGAATCAGACCAGTTGTGACTCTTGTCTCATTTACAAGCCCTTTATTGCTAACTCAGTGTCAGTAATCTATGTTCTTTTACAACTTAACAATCTGAAGATATTTAAAAACTTGCAAACATACGTTATAAAAATGTCTTTAATTGGTTGCATGACTTGGCTCTGCTTGCTTCAGTCCACTGAAGTTGCCCCACTCTCTGTCCTCCAGGAAGCCAGCAGACCTCCAGAACCTGGCCCCCGGCACACACCCACCCTTCATCACCTTCAATGGTGAGGTCAAAACTGATGTCAACAAGATCGAGGAGTTTCTTGAGGATGTCCTCTGCCCACCCAAGTGAGTGCTTTCTCATCCCTGTGATAACAGCTTGCTAACACACTGTTGCCACAGTGTGGTAGCTTTTACATGATCCATTAGCATGTAGCAAAGGTAGAGAGGCCCTATGTGGATTTAAATTGAGACAAATGTTTCACCTAAAGAATAAGGCTGAAAATATTCTATATTTTTCTTTTCTTATCATCAACAAATCCCCTGAATAGAACAAAACATTTTCCATGTTCATCTCAATTTTTTGAATAACAAATTTGGGTCTATGGCACAGATTAATTAGCTGTAGACAGTAAAAAATACAGAATATCACCAGACATGTACTTTTTAAACTCTTCTTATTTGTGACATACGTGTGTGTTATGTATGTGTGCTTGTGTGCAGGTACATCAAGCTTGGTGCAAGACACCCCGAGTCAAACACAGCTGGTATGGACATCTTTGCCAAGTTTTCAGCATTCATCAAGAACTCCAAACCAGATGCAAATGAGGGTAAGTTACCTGCTTTGGTCTCATACACACACGCACTAGAGTTAGGTACACTGGTTAACAGTAGAGATCCAGAAACCTCCCTATTGTGCAGGGAGAGTCATCTGGTTGCTAGGTGACATTGGAAGCCCTGCCCTGATTGGTGGATTACAGCCTCACTCAGGAACACAGAGCTTTTGTTCTGCTGCCTCCTCCTGCCGGTATGCTCTCTGTCTCACCTGGCTGAGCTCTCTGGAAGACCACAGAGCAGCTCTCCTGAGAGTGAACTAGTGTTCACATTCATCCTTCCTGTTCTTGGTTTATGCACCGTGTCCACCTCTGTAAGAGAAAGCCAGCATCATAAACTTACCAGATAAGATAGGAATAATATGAAAAATATGTAGTCTTTTTGTCTTAGAGTTTCTGAATCCTGGATGAAACAATTTGTGGAATTACTTCCTGGAAGGATGTTTATAATATTGACAAAATACCAAGATTTTGTATCATGTTTTCATTGGCAGTTCACCACGCTGGGAAAATATTGAACCATAGTGAGCTGGATGTGAATGCCAAGGCTATGTCAACAAGAGTTTGAGGCTGAATCTCATGGTTCAGTGATAAGTGCTATCCAAAGTGCCGGGTCACATCTACTCTTGGACTACTGATCGGGGTTGCTGCTACATTCATTTCATATTTTGCTAACAACAGAATAAAGTGTAAATGAATAATCTATAGATGGATAGATACAGGGTGAGACTGGGTTAGATTGTACAGGTGTTGATGATGCAGCCATGTCCTGTATTTATAATGGTCACACTATGGCTTGTCTCGTGGTGAAATGCTGCCCTCATGTGGTTGATCAGCATACAGCTGAAACAGATGTGGTGGAGGCCTCAGGAAAAGTATGTCAAAAGTTGATTATTTGCTCATGCTGAACATATGATTAAACTTAAAGCAGTGTTTACTGTTTTTACAATATCTCCTGTTTCTCCTCACAGCTCTGGAGCGCGGGCTACTGAAGACACTGCAGAAGCTGGATGAGTATCTTCGCTCGCCACTGCCCGACGAGATCGACCACAACAGCATCGAGGACGTCAAGGTGTCCAACCGCAAGTTCTTGGATGGTGATGAAATGACTCTGGCCGACTGCAACCTGCTGCCCAAGCTGCATATAGTGAAGGTGAGTGAGTGACACATTGCTGACAGTATATTTAGGGAAAACTTCAACTACTGGTACATTGAAATAGGTGCCCTCACGTAATTGCCAGCATAGCTCCGCCCAGCTTCAACCTGAGCAGTGGGATCAGCCTGAATAAGAGAAAACATTCTTCAAGATGGAGGAGTCATTGTGTGAAGTTACTGCTGGTATCAGTCTACCAGAGAAACTGTTGGTGTTAATGTTTCTCAAAATTAAATAAATGGTTTAAGATACAAATCTGTATGTTTGCAACTAATGATCATTTCCATTATCGATTTAATCTGTTATTTCCCTCAATATACTGTAGGCAATTAATGTAGATGATGTCAGAAAATAGAAATCACAATTTCCCAAAGCCCAGTTTTATCTCTTTTTTTAATGTCTTGTTCTGTCTAACAATCAAAAAACCGAAGATACTGTACCACGGTAGAGGACAGAGAAAAGCAGAAAATCTTCACATTTTAGAAGCGGGGACTCGTGAATTATTAACTTCAACAATTAATCAACCACCAAAATTGTTTATTAAGTAAAGTCACTGATCAAAAATGACTGTTTTAGCTCCACTATAATGCAGCCAAACCGTATCCTTAAATGTACTGAAGTCTGGGAGAGGCAGAGTGTCCTGTTGCTGGTCTTTCTTGTTTAGAAAGATAATTAACATCTAACATCTCAAAGTATAAAAGTTGCTTATAGCACCTTTTGAATATTACAGCTATTAGTCTTTTTGAGCTTATTTCTTTAGCTCTTCATGACAGTTATTCTCTCACAATGGCCATTAATCAATTTGGGTCAATTAATGAATATACAATCCTACAATTCTTTTTAAGTTATTTATATGTTAATTATTTTATAGGGCTGCAACAAATTATTTTTTGGATTTTAATTGATAATTGTGGAACATGTCCATCAGAATTTACTTCAGCCTAAAATGATGTAATCACATTCATTTTGTCCAAACAGTCAATTATTTGATTATTGAAATACCTCCAGATAATTTTCAGTTGACTCCTTAAGAAGACTTAAAAGCGAAATTGTTTGACAGAAGATTTTTGTTTTGATTTAGATGAGCTGCAAACTAATACAAAGAAATAGACATACATACAAATCATGCCGTTAAACATAAGGGTTCGTTGTTCCATTTTTGAGCGTTATTATTTATTTATTATTTCCTTCATTTATGGACTATGATGCCTCACTTTCCCTGCAGGTGGTAGCCAAGAAGTACAGGGGGTTCGACATCCCCAAAGAGATGACGGCCATCTGGAAGTACCTGAACATCGCCTACACACGCGAAGAGTTCACCAACACCTGCCCCAGCGACAAAGAGATCGAGATCGCCTACGCAGACGTAGCCAAGAGGCTGGTCAAATAAGCTCCTCTGTCCTGACATCGTCCTTCCATCCATCACCCTACAACCTCCCCCCTCTACACTCCCTCTACACCCCTCTCTCTCTCTCTCTCTCCTCAGCACCAGGACTGATGTGCTCATTCACGAGAAAGAAAAAACTCTGGACTTCTTTTTCCTTCTCTCCTCATTTAGAGCGACCCCCTCACCCCCACCCCCAATGCATGAACCTTTCCTGATCTTTTTTTTTTTTTTTTGGCCTCAGATTTTTATGAAAATGAAAAATTTGGTTGGTACAGCAAAGGTCACAGTTGTTCCATCTTGAATTGCGTTTATTTTCATTTGCTGATGAATGTTGTGAGGTGATGAGGTGACGGAGAAGCAGCCAGACAGTGTATCAGTGCTTATCAATGTCGGGAGCCTCATCAAACACACTCCCTGATAAAGTGACCTTCAAAGTGACCTTCTCTCTGCGAAGGGGAAAGGTCATGAGCTGTTGTTAATTTTCTGTTGTCTGTTTGATGTTGAAGTCACTCTCTCTAGGTTTGCTATAAAAATGAAACACTGAGAAGCTGTTTGTTTTTTTGTTTTTGTTTTTATTTCCTGTCTTTTGGCTTATTAAGAGGTGTTGTAAACAGTGTTGAAGCTTCAGTGTTTTGGCTCAAGTATTTGACAGGTTTAGGTAGAAACTGAAGCTAATCCAAACCTGAGTGGTTGACATATCAAGCAAGAAATGCTTTATTTTAATGTTGAGCTGTTTAAAAATCAAAAATAATTGTAATGCAGGTAAAGCTACCTGCTGTTCATGCTCTGATTTCCTCATTGCCTCAAACAGGCAAAAGTCTTGTAGCTCAGCTCAGTAGAATTTTAGGAAATTTCCTGTACCGGCTGTAGAAATAACAACTCAGGAAAAATATAACCTGAGGTCTAAAAAATATTCAACCATATGTAGCTTACAGACACGTCCAAGGATGTATCAGTGTTTAGACTGGCCTTTTGTAAATCACCATATTGCCATGGAAAATGTCCATATAAGCACTAGCAACTCGTTCTTCTCTTATGAAACAAGAAGGAAAGTCTCTACTTTGTTCGTGTTGACTGTAGCGGTAGTTTGGATTACACATCGCAGACCAAAAAGCGGCACATTATTCTGGTCTCACTGTGGATAGGATGACACCGGCCATATAAACTAGTGAAGTCAAAAAAAACAGAAGAAACCACACATCCTCACTGTCCGTTTTCTCCATGGCCTACAGGATGGCGGACACTAATGTGCGGTCAGGCGCCAGGAAAGGCAACACTTAAGATATTTATGACAAAACAAACCAAGGAGAGCAGCAATGAAATATACTGTATACCTGGTTGAATTTCACGTCCTCTTCAGTGTGTAGATTGATCTCAAAGGTAGTGAATGTATGTTATGATACAGTAGCTCCAAAAGTGCTTTAGTGAGGATAAAGCAAACCTGTTTTGTTTTCTCCAGTTTTCAGACATTTGTTATGAAGCAAATTTGATAAGAAAAAATAAAGGAATTGTAAATATTTGTTTTGATTGCTCAGAATTCAATGTGTAAATTTTATACATGTCATCTGAATTTTGAAAAAAACGGGCCATTTCTCGCCTGCTTGGATTGTAATTCTACGTTAACCCATATCCTCTCTGCCTTACTTGTTTTCTCTCTGCGGATGTTTTTGCAAGAAGGTTTTTTCTGAGATCATTTCATTATAACATGTGAAGTTGTACAAAGAAAATATCCAAGCTACGTAATGGCTTTTTTTTTTTTTAACAATATTGACTGAATTGAAATAAACTTCTTATTGGCACTCTGACTTGTGTCGTACAACCCTTCAGTCTTAGTATACTGTACATCTGTCTTGTCATATATAAGAGATTGGGCTGCCTTTGGCCCTCAACTCTATTTACAGCTTGCATGTTTTCAGATTACTGTTCATAGCCCATATCAATATCCCAATTTAGCAAGTCCTCCCTTCAATAACAAAAAGACTAGTCAAAAAAGTCCAAGATGATTACCAGTGTTGCCATCACTCACTTCCAGTGGCTCAGCGGCTTTACTGCATAAACAGCCCAACTCCTAAAGTTAAATGGATGTTTTCCAGCCTTTTATCTTAAAGAAGCTATTTGCAGATTTTGCTCTTCCTACATGGGCAGTGTTAGCATTAACATCTGTTTACTGACCAGTCTGGAAGAAACATTGTTCAGCATCAAACTTCATTCCTTTACTCACCAAGAGCTGTCTCCAGAGGTGGAGAGTAACATAAATATTTACTCTTGTCTCTGTCAGGCCATTTCTTCTACTGAAGTTAGCATGCTAACCAAGTAGCCCTGGCCCGTCTTGTCCCTTTCTGATAGCGACTCACTGACGCCTCCAATCTGCCCTGAATATGTAGCACTGCTCAGAGGTTGTATTATAACCTCTTGTATTTAAAGACAGCGATGGCTGAAGCTCTTGTGAAGCGACTATCACCACTCCCTGCAAGAAACCACCTTTCAATATTTTTAATATTTTTATAGTCCATAATTTGAATTAAAAAACAATGTGAGTCGATTTAGAGGTCACCAACACAGAAATATAGAAAAGTTTGGGGACCCCTGGGCCAAAGCGTGTTTGTTTACAGCTCTCTCTCTCTCTCTCTCTCTCTGCAAGGAATGTCTCATGTGGGTGTTCACCCACTGTGGGCTCCACCTCCCCCTGAAGACACCCTCTCGCAGTCAACTCGACAATGTTTTTCAGCCAATTCCCTACTGTTCTGAAGCACACACAAACAAGTCTATTCTGCAGGGATGATTGCAGCCATAGTTTCACAAGAAAAGAAAAAAAGGAAGAAAAAAAAGGTGTGGGGGCGTACAGTTTTTGGATGTTCTCCAGATCATTAAAGTGTCATGTTGCAGCTCCAGACATTCTCTGCTCCCTTACTGGTGAACACTGAGACACAGTCTCCACTTGTAATTCACTGGGAGGAAATCCACCCAGACACAAACAGACAGACGCTTGTGTGTGTGTGTGTGTGTGTGTGTGTGTGTGTGTGTGTGTGTGTGTGTGTGTGTGTCAGTGTGAGGTAAGAGAAGACACAACAAGGCTGGATATTATTCAGACCACACACTCATTACAAGCAGGGTGAGTGTATTAGTGTAATTGGTTAATGAAGGTGAGGCCAGAGGGAGCTGAGAGTGTTGTTTCTCAATCATGTTGTCTGTGTGTGTGTCTGTGTGTGTGTGTGTGTGTGTGTGTGTGTGTGTGTGTGTGTGTGTGTGTGTGTGTGTGTGTGTGTGTGTGTGTGTGTGTGTCAGTGTGAGGTAAGAGAAGACACAACAAGGCTGGATATTATTCAGACCACACACTCATTACAAGCAGGGTGAGTGTATTAGTGTAATTGGTTAATGAAGGTGAGGCCAGAGGGAGCTGAGAGTGTTGTTTCTCAATCATGTTGTCTGTGTGTGTGTCTGTGTGTGTGTGTGTGTGTGTGTGTGTGTGTGTGTGTGTGTGTGTGTGTGTGTGTGTGCGTGTGTGGAAAGAGCAGGGCTATATCACACACCATGAGAGGGAGCCAACAAGTCAGCCAAACTATGAACCCACACAGCTTGCAGCCACAGTTGTTGCCCTCGATCTTTCTTTGTTAGGATGAGAAAATCTTGTGCCCTTTAACTGCAGGGTTGCAACTTCTTTAGCCCTGATATCCATTTTTGCCGTTATGCTTTTACTTCAATAGGTAAATCAGTCAGCTGTGTATTTTTTTACTCCTCTATAGTTCAGTGGAGCCTTTTCTGTTTGGCATCGACTCTTTCTGTGCAGTGCCAATTCAGTTTGCAGGTTTTACACAACACCCATTTATACAGCTGGCTAAATATTTACACTGGTAAAGTAGCTCACTCAAGGGTACATAGTGATATCCCAACTGGGTTTTAGACCTACAATGTGTGAAAACCCTTCTTTGCATATGAACTCTGTGCACCTGACATTTGATGTGGCTATAGGTCACATCGTATTTGATTTACTGTTGATTGACAGCACAAAGGCCAATATGTAGAAAATCCATGGCTATGAGAGCATTAGGATTTTACACAGATGTTTTTTTCTGAATATAAAAATAATATGTTGTGAAATATCTTTTCATTTTTAATTTGACCACAATTTTCTACTTAAACGCATTACCCTGCCTCTGTTATGACAGCTTTAGATTAAAAGAAGGATGAGTGTCATTTTCATAGCCAGTGTGCCAGTATTCAAAGTTCACTAGGGCCGACAGGCAAGGCCTGTCATTGTCTATTTAAGATATAAGCCACAATTGAACCTCAAGGCCAGACTTTGAAGTGGTTTTAGAAGAGCTACAAACTGTATTTTGAAGTAGAAGTAAAAATATATAAATATTTAATTTTCAAATCATAAATATTTTCATTTTCAAGCAACATAGTTCTTGACGACCACAAGAATCAGCCTAAGGCAGTGGCTTCTGACTATTTTTGCTGCTTACACAAAGCAACTTGAGATCCATTGTCACCAGTTGCATATTTTACTGTATGTCTGGATTATGAACCAAAACAGGGATTTTTTTCCTCTGTTTAATTTTAAACCGTAAAATGTAAATTTATCTAGGAACTGACTGAAAAAGGGGGAGGGAGAGGGAAAAACAAAAACATTTAAATCTGCTTTTGTATTCTTACCACTCAGATGGTTTGGAACCAATTGCCTAAAATGGAAACTAAGGCACTGTTACTACATGGTGATTACCATAATGATAATTAAGTGGTCATAAAACTATGCATTTCCTATTTTTCAGCTATAACATTCAGCCAATTCAAATGAAAATGAGGAAACATGTTTGCAGAAGCCAAGCTTGTGTGACATGTAAATGAACTAATAACATTAATAATGGCTGTATTCCACTCAGGTGTGCCAGTCTAAGAGTTTTGGTATTGTACCCACTGGCTCAGTGGCTGGACTTACTGGCACACCTGAATGGCACAGAACCATAATTAATGTTATTAGTTCCACCTGTGCTTCCCCTGCTCTGAGAGGTCATCGTGTTCATCATAAAAGATTTTAAAGTGACTAATTTGACACCATAACAACTAAATACAATGATTACACAGCATAGCTATTGAACAGTAGCTCGTTAGTATTAAAAATTAGCCACAGGTGTGAAGGACAGCTAATGAGCCAATCAGAGCCGAGCAGGAGAAGTGAAAAGACAGCAGTTGCTGGGGCCTGGTACAGGCCACGCAGCATGTTGTTTTGATTGTTGTTGTTGTTGTTGTTGTTGTTGGAGTTGGAGGACGAAGACGAGGAGGAGGAGGACAACGTTGAAGTGCAGCCATTCCCGTCATACTAAGGTACAGCAGCAGAACTCATAATGCTTCCCATGGCCTTTATCTTCTGCTTACATCTTGAGAAATGTTGGCCTTTATTCAGAAAATATGCTGGCATCAGCTCGCGTGCTCCAAAATAGGCCTACTCGTAGTCTGCGACTGGTTAGCGCCGAGGGTATGTTGATCCTCCAGCAAGGTGTGTTTTTCTTGCCAAGCTTCTTCAAGTCGTACAAGCTGTCATTGACCCATCAGCTTGTGTGTCTTTCTTGGCTGCAACAGAGAGTTTTTGTGTGGCGGCATATAGTTACTCATAAATAGGCCTATATACTGTGATAGCTCTGAAAAACACATCAATATGCTAAGAGTGATGGAGAGTGGCACCCTGAAGGAAAGTAGGAAACTCGATATTTTTATATATTTGGTTTGTTTAAACAGGTTTCAAATGCAATGAATATCAATAGTTTGGCGATATACCTGGTGTCAGGAGGTGTATTTTAAAGGTTCATTTCACTTAAATTAGAAGAAACTGTATTCTCTCAATCAGCCTATAGATTTCTGCTGCCACTCCAAAACAATGCAGGTGACTTTTCATATCAGTGAAGAAAAATGCATTAAAAACTGCCAATCTTTCCAGAGACGGTGTTACTTATAACAAGTAATCAGTACAAACTAGTACAAATTAAAGTCTCAGCATTTAAAATGTTATTTAAGTTAAAGTACTATTATTATTATTAGCAAAATGTGCCTAAATTGTTAAAAGTAAGCACTCATAATGCAGAAAATGACCCCTGTGTCATATTATTACATTGCATTTTATTGTTGTAGTAGAATTAATTTGTTTAATTTGTTATGTCCTATTTGGTAGTTTCATGTATAATGCGTCAGGTTTTTATAATTTCATCATATATTTTGTTTGTAAAATCCTAATTTGGGAAGTTACTAGTGAGTCCAGCTGTCAAAAAAATGTCACAGAATAAAAAGTATGATATGTGGGAAATCTAGTTAACTAGAAGTATAAAGTAGCATGCAATGAAAATACAGGACTTGGGTAAATGCTTTTAGTTAGATTCCACTACCAGTGAAAGTTTTTATAGGAGTAATTTCTTCGATTTAAAAAGTATTAGTCATGAAAACTGTTGACGGCACGTTTCTTGGATTATCCAGAAAAACAGGGACATTGTTTCTCATTTAAATTAAATTTGTTGGTAAGCATCATATTAAAATGATAAAAATGGGCAAAAGGAACCCAACCATCTGCATGGCTAGATACCACCTCAGGTAATAGTTTATGAACTCATGAACTCACCCTTCAGTTGAAGTTGAGCACAGTTTCAAAGGTGGTCAGCTTCAATTAAAAGAAAGGCTACCGTCTCTTCCTTTAATCCTTCCATGGGGTGCAGGACGTCTCTGCGACCCACACTGTCACTCATTATTTTGAGCCCTGTGAGGGTCTAACATTGCTATACAAGTGGAGTTCATTGTGGCATCAGCCACTCCATCAACT